ACCATTATATCTAACCTACTCAATTTCACCCAAGAAAAAATGCATTTAAGTCAACAAATGTTTTCATAATTCCCAAACAGGTGAGTTTTCAAAGTAAGCTCCCGGGTCTTTTTCTTTCTTTTTACTAATTTTGCTCATTAGGATTAGAGTATGTTGTTTTCACTGGTGTGTTGCAATAGTAGATGAGGTTGAATTTAAACTAAGTCTTGCTTAATTTTATTCATGCTAAAGGGATTTCTTGAACGCTGTAACAGCTGGTAACGATTACAGCTGACATACATCTTCATTTGGAGAAATTTCACATTTGAATGGATTTTTTTTGGGAGTGTGGACAGCAGCCACTATAAAAAGAGGTAAATCATCCATTTCACTCTGAGTATGCTTGCAGAGTTTGAAATGACCTGTAATGTTTGTTCATTCCTTTTTTTAATTCTGTTTTTTTTTTTGGCACACGTGCATTTTTTTTTCTTTTTTATGACTTGCTCAGATAGTTCACTACTTGTTATTACCTTAGGTTTAGTTGTGAGCAGGGCTTAATTTGTCAACCGATTGATGTCGGAATACAAATAGCAGGTGGCCTGACCAGGGGGAGGGTCTAGGGGTCCTCCCACAGAAAATTTTGAATAAAGTAGATGCAGTTTCCTGCATTTTAGTGGATTTTAACAGGTAGATAAACATTTACATTTACCTGCATTTGTAAACACTACGCTTCTGTCAAATTTCCTAAACACCTGCGTATGACTGCCTTGTTAGCTCATCAGTCACTTCTACCACTCTCGTAGGGCGGAGATTTTTTAACGATAGAAGTGAAAATGCTACTTGAAGGTGCAGCTCATATGCTTGTAAGTGGCTGTTGTGTTTAAATTAAAGTTTAAGTAATTATTTACATTTTGCATATCAAATATAAACTTTGTTCATTCAAGGCAGTCATATTTGTTCATAACTTTTATTATTATTAAGCCTGAGAGTTACTAGATCCAAACAAACAGTTACCAAAACTAGGAATGCACTGATCCATATTTTTTTCTTCTGATCCCGATACCTAATACTGGATTAGCCTCATCCCTAACCGGAACACACCCTGTCAAAATAAGAGTGTTCCTGGACCCTGTTCCGGCAAGATTCGTTTCCAATTAAGCCCTGGTTGTGAGTGAAAGTGTTAAAAGCTTCATTACAGTGCTAGCTTCTGATAAATATGTTTGTTGTAAAAATGACAGTGATAGTCTGTTCAAATGATAAATTGATTTAATCATTATTTTAATAATTACAATTGAAGCCTGTATATGTCCCAATATGTCCCCCCCCCCCCCCCCCAAACTGGTCACTAAAAAGACAAGTGTCATCAGATTGCCATCAGTTACAGCCTGTTGTTCTCTCATCACACTGCTTCCATTGTATGCCAGAGCGCTGAGTTTTATTTGTCTTCATCAGAGAAATAAAGACCGTTCAATCTGTCCAAAAGAACACTGAGAGTTGTAGCTTGTCGTTCAGGTTAACAGTTACTTCCACAGACCAAATCGATCTTCAAAACTTTTGTGGGAAAACAAAGTCAAAACGCCATTCAGGTAACCCTCTGTCTTTTCCAGCATTATAAATATAAAAGAAAAAGGGAAAAAAAATCATATTCTTTGTTAGAAAAACATCTGTCAGCTGTCACATGATGTCAACTTTTGTGTTGAATCCCCAACTAACAAGTGAACAGAAGAAGCATTTTCATTTGCATAATAGACACTATAAACAAGAACGTTAGTGAGGTGAGAACCTTCCAACAAATACTTTCAACTACAAATATTATTTATGACGTTAAGCTCCTTGGTGCTTCCTGCAGTAGAAGAGACTTGGTGACCCTGTTTAACTCCACGTTCTTCAGCCTGATGCACAGCGTATCCTCAGGCTTGATTTTTTTATTTATTATTTTTTTATTTTCATTTTATTATGATGGAATTGAAGGGCTCTTTGCAACCAATTAAACACAACATCACTGAGTGGGCATGAGCCTTTATCAGTCCAAACTGGAACATTGTGCAAACTTAGTATCTTATGATGAAATTAACGGTCAATGTTCAAACTTCTATTGGTTTGGAAGTATAATAGGATTTTTTTTTTCTCTGTGGTTTTATAATGGAAAAAATACAAGAAGACTGTTGTTTAATTATTGAACCAATGTAAATGTGATAATGTTCAAGATTCTTTGTCATTCGCATCACATGTGGCGCATGAGGTGGAACACAATTGTGTATTTAAGGTCCCAGTTACACCCAAAAATAGCAAAAAGAAACACTATAACTGCATCAACAAAGTTAAGTCAGATCTTCTAGATGGTTTCTTTGTGTTGAAACATTTCATCTTTCATCCAAAGGATTTCATCAGTCCGAGGAGCCACAACAAATGCATTTCATGTAAACATGATTGTTAAATCATGTTTCTTCCAACTGAGGCGGCTGTCTAAACTGAAGCCCATATTGTCCAAAAATAACCTGGAGACAGTAATGCATGCATTCATTACATCTAGGCTTGATTACTGCAATTCACTCCTGTTTGGTATCAGTCAGAC